GACAACTCATCACGGCTTGTTCTGAATTTGCTTAGTACGTTAGTACGTTAGTACCTTAGTACTCGGTACGGACAACTCATCACGGCTTGTTCTAAATTTGCTTAGTACGTTAGTACCTTAGTACTTGGTACAGACAACTCATCACGGCTTGTTCTGAACTTGCTTAGTACGTTAGTACCTTAGTACTCGGTACGGACAACTCATCATGGCTTTGGAAGGTTTATTACTTAGCCGTAAGACCTATTTGTTTTATCTTCTTTTTTAACCGATTATTTCCTAAATTTATAATTCCTTTGCATATATGTAGATAAACAAATAGAAGAAAGATAGAATTTTTAGGTTTATAATGGGCAAGAACAGCAGAACTTAAACAAGTCTGATCAAATCGGCTTAATTTTAATAGTACGTTAATCATCCGTACTAAGCGAAAAACAAGAAAAAAAGAATCCTATTTTAGGCATGGTCTATCCAAAGTAACCATGCAAGAAACTAAGAAAATTATACAAAACAAATGCTAAAAATGAGACATAGACAGGGGTTTCAGTGGGAACTGGCAAAATCGCAAAATTTGCTCTAAAAACTGCCACCTATTTTTCCTGAAATTAAAAACTTTGGAGTAAAGTTTGAACTTTTATTAGCCACCTACAGATGTACTTTGCTCTCTCTGACATCTGCTTAAAAACTTATTGAAACCTTTACATTAATGTATTATAATGTATTTTACCTCTACCACTTAAAGAAAGGAGTAAAAACATAAATTTATCTTACATTACACAAGTATAGTACTTACCATAATCATCTATCCAAGACTAACCTTCTTTTGAAGAGCCATATACTCATCAGCTGATATTGCTGGTCCTGAAGACATCTTTCTTGGGCCTGATGGCAAAGGAGTTGAAGCAGCTGCTGGAATCTTGCTCAGGGAACTGTTTGATGATAGCTCAGGAGCAGTAGTTGTGCTGGTTTTTGGTGTTGCTAACCTAGAGGAAGGTGGCGATGGTCTGCTACCAACATTCTCTAAGGAACCCCTTGACCCAAAAGACTGAAACAGTGAAGACTTCATAAAGTAAATAAGTTGCTGCTAAGTTTTATTGTCAGGCAAAAAAAAAAAGGATTTTACCAAGGAAATCCTAGCCTTAATAATTCATAATTGTGGCTATGAGATAAAGGAAAATGAGAATCAATCTACTGTTGGTAAAATTTTTCTTCTTTTATGATTAAAATGTTTCTGCAACAGATATTAATAATATAGTGTTTAAGGGATCAAAAGGGCCTGTAATTATACATTCAAGCAACATGTGTTTCAACAAAACCAGTCAACAATAGAGGAAAAGTTCAATTTCATCTTTCAGTAGTATAACTGAGATCAATTATTTTTTAAATTTTTTTAATCTATAGTAATTACTTCTTCAGAAATCCATGGGAATATGAACCCACTTGTATATACAACCACAAACACACACAAGCCATGCTGATACACAATTTAAATTTGATGAAATAGTAACAGTGAATTGGATGAGGAAGGGGTCTTAAGCATCACAACAGCATGAAAGCATCACTCGTACACGTACCTTCTCTTTCCTCATTGATGATGGTAAAGGAATGGAAGTTCCTCCACCAATGCTGCTGCGAGTGGACGATCCACGCTGAGGTGATGGGGAGGTTGGTGCATCCTGAAGAACAGCTATTTGAGACTGACGCACAAAGATTCCATGGTTCTCAGCACATTTGAAATACTCTTTTCCCTGCACTAAATCATGAATGTACAAAAGAAATTCTTCGCCACCAGCAACATGTTACATACTGTTCTAAAATGAAGTTAGAGAGATAGTGTTTCTGAAAACATTTTTTATGATATAGCTCACAATACAAGTTGATGCAATGAGGCAAATCCTGTTTAATGTTTGGTCAACCAAGTAGGCAAGTTTAACCTATCCTACCACCTTACACAAGTAGCTTGTTCTACATGAGATGCTTCCATCATCAAAAAATATTACAAGAAAAGCCCATTAAATTCAAGTAGCCTGAGGAGCTATTTTGCAGAAAAAAGAAACCACAAAGGCACAAGTCCTGTAAATTAATTTACTTACCACACTAGCCTGCTTAAGTTGTACAAAAGAATATTGGCCCTCAGTTCATAATTATCACGACCTTGTACCAATATTTCCTATTACAGTCCTCAAGCTCAGTTTGTATGATTATGTAAAGTAAATATTTCTTTCCGCATGTGACTTTGGTCATGGTCATTTCATACCGAGTTGTTTCATACACAAATGTACTAGATTTCGCTCCGACGAAGGGCTAACGCTCCAAACATCAGCTTTTATAATCGTAACGGTGGCCAATTTACCATTTCAACTTTGTTGATATATTCAAATTATTTCATTACCCCCACCGACGCAGCGCCAAACAGTTTCTTTAGAAACTATCAGCCTTAAGTAACTTTCTAAGCTGAACTGACCTGAAAAGCTTCAGAGAGCCTATCCCTTTCATTCTGAAGGGTGGTGTTTCCACTCTGCAGATCTTTGACTTGTTTCTGCAAGGACTGCATCTCTGCTTTATCACTTGCCTGGACCTCTTTGAGTCTAAGGTTTTCAAAGCAAAACAATCAGTGTATAGATATGCATCTGTTCAATACTTGATTGACAGAAAAGGCAACATGTACAGCTGTCTAATGGCATTTCTATCTTAAATACACCTTTTTTCCAATGTTGGGGCCATGAATGTAAAGTGCTTTCAATTGATCATATCAACATGGTTGGGTTATGGAAAAAAGAATAACAGACCCTTCAATTTCTTTGAGTGCCAAACGGGATCATCATAAAACAGGGTTTGTATAGAAAGGATGATTACATTTACAGAGAACAGTTTAATTTAACATGATTCCTTCCAATGGTAAATCAATTGTAGTGAAGACATGCAAGTTTCTCAATTATCCAATTTTTCACAGCATAGTACAAATTTTAAAAATGTAAAACAAGTTCTTCACATCCAACAGTACTTGCACATGTGTTCCAGAAGTCTACATGCAATGCAACCACCAGTTGATCTATTTTTAAAGATTTCAAAGCAAAATTAATTGTACATTTTTAATGTCATTACTTTTTTCCACTTCATCTTTGGGCTTGCCAAAACATCGACATAAAATTAATGTAAGAAAATACAATTAACTGTACTAGACGCTTCAAACAACAAATGAGATAATACCTCATGATTGCTTCCTTCAGCCTACTATTTTGTTGCTCAAGTTGTTTGACCTGGGCATTTGCCGCAGCTCCTTCAATTCCTTTTAAAGAGCAATATTGAACATTCAATTTGTTAACTCATGAGATTGGATCAATTACTGTAACATTTAACTGTGACACTTACTCAGTAAGTAGCAAATTGATAACCCTTTAATTCTCACAAGTGACCAAGAAAGAATTTCTCCTTACAATATCTATACAATATCATGCAGACAAGTAATGAGAATAAAGATAAATAACAATTATGGGATTACCTATTGATCCGATACCAAATTCTCCACACTAGCATAATGAGAATCATTTGGCAGACAGTTACAATAGGAGAATTACTAAATGAGATCTTGGGAGTTAATCTTTAGAATGTCATAAATATTGAATGTGAAGGTGATGTTACTCAGTGATAAATACTTGGGTTTACTTCGGATAATTCACTAACACTCAATTGAGATAACAATATTACCTCCTTCACTAACTTCATTCTTCAAAATTTCTAAGTCAAGAGTAACTTCTTCCAACTTGTCCTTCAACTGCTCATTTTCTTGCTGAAGGGATTCCAACTGCAAAACATTGTGCATTAAATCAAACCAGAATACATGTCAACCATTTGTGAGTATCACTTTATATTAACTTCACTCTGCTTCCTAGACTGTATATATAAAAAAATTAAAACATGAGAAGGCTCATGTTTCTGATTGCATCTAATCTGCATAATATTGGGTTAATGCAGCAAGGCATGACAAGTATACCTATCTGTTGCACCTCAAGCTGTAGCCACAACAAGATCAAGAAATAAAAAAATCAATCAGTAGCCTCTTAATTTAAAGAATTACCTAATTTGAAAATATTCTTAATAAAGGAAAAAATGTTAACAATTTGGCAATTCAAAACTGTTTGGTATCTATCTCAGTCTCTATCTAATTACATGGTTCTAATAAGTTCATTGTAAAATGAATACCCTTTCTTCAGCCATCTCCTTATCCAGAGTTGCCATTTCCACAGCTTCTTGAAGCTCTGTCAATTCTTCACTGTGTTCTTGGCGATTCTCAGTGATCTCTTTGAGCTCCTGTTAAAAGGCCACAAAACAAAATTGTTATCCTTTCATGAAGTTCCAAACTAGAACTAGCATTTAACTTCCCACTTGGAAGAAAACAGAGTTTACTTTCAATCTGTGTCCTATGCTTTTTTATTTCATACAGCACTAAAAGTATCAGTTCATTTGGATATGTATAAAGTTTTTTTTGAGTAAACTTTGTGAATGAAAATTCAACTTAAACCATTCCTTCCCTCCCTGTTCTCTTTCCCTTAAAGTGTCATAGTAAAGCTCACGTCACAAATATTTCAACCACAAAAGCAATTCAACAAATTTGGAAAGCACAAAGAAAGACAATTTGAGTGGTGTTGACTCTCAAGAGGGAAATGACAGACTTAACATCATCATGCAGGGCTCGACACTAACTTTTCTAACTTACGAGCTAAGAGGCTAGTGACAACTTAGATGTTATGACAAGTTCAGTTTGTTTACTGGCCAAACTGACTAGTGGAAATTGAAAACCACTAGCCAAAACTGAATTTCTAATAGTCTGTGGCTAGTGGGCTACCGTTAGTGTCAAGGCCTGATCATGGTCAACAAGCTACAAGTACACTGTACATGTAAGTGCATGTTTTACGAATAGAACTTTAATCATTGTCCAAACCATGAGTTTGAATTGTAAAGAGTGATTTGGAGACGGGCTAGCTGCATGTAATCATAATTTCAGTCAATGGTTGCTGTGGAAATCTACGGACATTTGTTTGAAGCCTTGCTACAACATCCTAAAGCACTGCTGGCCTTATTATTTTTATTCCCATCAGAGTTTACCATCAGAATTTACCACAAAATAGAACAGAAATGGACACCGGTCTCCATATCCATCAGTACTGTTACTAAATCATTTTCACTCTCAGGCACAGAGAAGCCTTGGGGCTATTAACAGCTTTTCTCAACTATCTTAGTGATGACTTAAAGTGAGACATTTTGTAACAAATGCATGTAAAATAACAAAACCTAGCTGTTTTATGATTGTTATGTTTAACATGCATTAAAGATCAAGTGGTGAAACAAAATAAGTTACCTTTTTTGCCACATTCAGTTGAGCTTGTAAATCTCTCTGTGCTTCTTGCCATTTTGTCTTATATTCTTGCATCTAATTTCAATTGGTAAAATAATCAAATGACTTAAATGGATCATCACAGTACTGAGGTAATAGAGTTGTATTGATAATTACATAACTAAAATGAGGGAATATTAATGAATTTTTAAGTACCAATCAAGCTACACCGCTTCCTCTAAAAGCTTTTTAGAAACCATACTTTCCTTTCTCTGAAGGATTATTTTCTTCCTGTTTGTATAATCAAACTGACTGACTATTACTTTATTGACAAAAGGGCAGCTGGCAAAGAAGTTCATCCAATAAAACATGCCACTTAACCCTTTCACTCCCAAGATCTCATTAGCAATTCTCCTTTCTGGATGCCAAACAATTCTCATAAAGTTAGTTTGGTGAGTTTGACATTGGATCAACTAATCAACTAAATTCTGTTTTGGTCACTCATGGGAGTTTGGAGCAGAACAGCTTTTTCTACTTCTTCACAGTATTTTATTTTAAAATTATAGATGAAGTTCAAGGATTAAAAAATGGATGTTCAAATTTCAAATATGAATTATTCAAAATTCCAGCAGAATAAAATAACATTGATTGATGCTAAATTATTATGCAAACATAACAGTTACCAAGTGACACTAATGCTGATGAAGAATTTTAGAGAAACGTATGCAAAATCGATGGACAGAAAATTATAATGTGGACTGAAAGAAGAAACTTCATCCACTTTTCCCTGCCCCTCTATTTTTAAGGTTATATCTTTATTATCCATTGGTGGAGCAAATATGTCTTAAAACCTTAAAGTTACATATTCCTGGGTGCACGGGAATGAATTTAGAAAAACAGGTAAATTTAATCAAACTAGAAAAAAATGTTTATGGGTCAAAATTGTTAAAAATCCACTGATGGAAATTGATGCCTTGCAGACATCTATTCCAATAAAAATTTTGACTTTAAAGGTCAAAGCTGGAAAAATTCAAAATTCATTAAGATAATTTTTTTTTTGCTATTTCACTTTGCCAGGGAAATGTGAGGTGTGTTTATCAATTAACGGGACTTCAGTGGACACAAAATGGACAACTGATTACATGTACATTTATTCCACCATTCAAGGGAGATTTACCACACCCTTCATTACCATGGCTCAATGCATATTTGATATTGGTTCTCCACATCCTGTTGATGTATCATCCACACTGTACATGTTTTGAAACTAAAAAAGACTCGCGTAAAAAGCCAGCATTCAATTTAATTCTAGCTATCTATTAAAAAGGTTTTTCATTTTATCAGAACAGAGCCTACTCTGCTCCATTTTTAAGTTACTTAATTACCAAATGAATAATATTACCAGTACTAAGAGTTTGTTGTTCTAAAAAAGGGAAATTTCCAGTGAATATGATGTATAACATGCAGACAAACCTGCTCCAATTGCATCCTTGCTTTCTCCAGTTCTTTCATTTTGGTCTTGTCCTCTTGTCTTTTACTCTTCAATGTCTCCAGTTTCTCCTCTAAATCAACCACAACCTTTTCTTTTTCTAAAACCTGCACACAGATATAACAAAATCTTTACAATTTAGATTTCACAGAAATTCTAGAGATCATTTGATCTAGTCCAATGGGTTAAAGCAACAAGGCTCAAGGTGTGGGTATTTTACACTAAGTCTAGTGGAGTTTTCAATGACTGGGAACAGAACTAAGAAGTTATTCCCAGTGGATGTGATGCTGATACATAAAAAAGAACCGAAATAGAGGAAAGTTAAGAAAGTTAGTATATTCCCTCAGCTAGTGGACTCTTGCATGTTCTGTGATGATGCAGGTATTTTCTTCCTGGTAATCACAACTTATTTTAGGTAGGGCTC